GAGCTGGTTTAAGATGCTGGGTAGCATTTCTGTCAGCTGCTTTGTCTCAGCATGGCCTGTAATGGTGAAAGTGTTTGCTGCCAGAGATGCCTGAACTTTAGGGTTGTTAAAGTGGATCACTGTTCCTTGGTTTGTAAACATATTCACCTCTTCAATACCAGAGATATTGTTTACCCCTAACTTCTTTAAGGAGAACTGAAGTTTATCATCTGCTGTGGCTGTTCTATGAACCACCTTCTTCTTTCTGCGAGCAGTTCCTTTCCCACCAATGTGCACTTGTGCCTGCAGTTTGGCGAGTTTCTCTTGGTTCATGATAGTTTCTTTCATCTTGTCGGAGCGTAAAGGGGGCCGCGCGGGGGACTAGGGTTGGTGCTCAGGGGGTCTCGGGTAGACCAGTTGAGTTTAAGCACACACACGCCAGGATATTCCTCTTAAGGTCTGTTAACCTGATGTTTACAGGTTAAAAGCCGAAGCATGTTTTCCCGAGAAATGTTAATTTGTATTTTCACTAAATTATCAATGAATTGTTAATTTATGTTAAGAAAACTAGCTTAGAAATTATGTGAGAACAAGTGGCAACCTGAACAGAAGTAAATCTACAACACACAGTAAATTAAATGCCCTAACTCTGCCCTGACCAGATCTAAAGGCTAGCTTTATTAGAATAGCAAACAGTATAAATTGAGTTTATTTACATTTTGCAAAGGCTGATCTAATAGAAACCAAAGCAATGAAAACTGTTTCTACCTGATACTTTTTAACTTTATAAGAAAATTATTTCCTGAGATCTTATAAATCCAGCTCCTCAAGTCAATGACAAGTTTAGTATAGTGCCTATTACTATTAGTGTCATAGGAAAATGGCTGGGGTCAAAGGAAGAGAAAGTGGGAAGACTGCCAGAAATGTTTAAACTTTCCCCTAATACTGAACTTGCATAATATGCCAGCTTTAATAGCAGAATTTCACGTATCAAGAGTCCAGTGGAAGCTAGCAAGAAAAAGATATGGT